GTCTAATTATGACGTCACTAAAAAGTTCATATCTCTTCCATATGTAGATAAAAAATATCAACACGAGATGCCAGGAGAGGGGAAAAGTACATTTGCCTGCATATTTTATATTATCGCTGAATGCCATATGAAACCATGGCAGATACTAAACGCCTTCTCCTTTCATGTTTTCCATAATGATTTGACATATAAGTGGATTTAATAACCGTAAGATAACATTATGTGAAATAACTTTTGTTTATAATGTTAGATAGTGATAACTCCTCTCCTACATGACTTGCGCCCTCTGGAGGTATGAACACGGATGTTGTTACACCCAATAGATAGATGTGATATTATTTGAGATCAGTCTGTTGGCCTACCCGCTCATCTCCTGGGAATACGATCTTGTGAAAGATGGGAATGCGATTACGCACACACGGTGCTTACCCGCTATGATCTCTCCGATACAACGCTATTCTCCGTACAGTTTCCCTAAACTTCCTACTCTTATATTGGCGGTGTGTTGCATTGATTCACATTGCTAGAGCACACAAAGGCTGTAGAGTCATGTTGTCGCTGGTGTTTCGATTAGATACAGTTAGTTGTAATCCCCGAATTAAATTGGAAACTGGCCCTCTAAATACAATCTTGTTGGACAATAACAGTGCATGTTTTAGTGTAGTATGTTATTGTATCAACAATATGTTATTGGTGATCAAACATAGAACTGTTTTGTTTACTCCAGCGTGCAGAATCGTTGTATATGATAAATACTTCGATTAACACTAGTGGAATGTCAGACTGTTTTGATCTAGCCTCTTGCACATGAAATATGAAGAAGATATATTTAGGTTTGCCACTACTTCCTACGTTTAAGAACAATGGTATCTGCTAAAATGAAAGCACTGTAGGCATTGTCGTTAACCTGACACGTGACTCCATGACAAGAGCTCGTAATTGTAAATAATTATCAGACTGATAGAGGAATATTAATCGTCGTAGTTATTTGTTTGACCCACCAGACATTAAGAAATGCAGTTGTTGGGTGTGCAGTCGTGGTATCGCCCATGATGTACGATATATGCACAATATATGAACAATGTTTGCACGTTTGGATGAATTTCCTATCGCACATTTGTACGCGCCATGTGGTGCTTTTCTATTGCAGAGATTTGTTATTTTGTCTTGGTACAAATGATTTAAGAAATGACATATAAAGAAGTCTGGAATATATTATTCTTTCCTGTTGTATAAGGATACAGAATACAGTAAACGATATATAACTTAGCATTTTTTAATTAAGTCATATGTTTCAAATATAATATACATTTAGATATATCTGATACAGACTAAATATTTACATACACTCGTTATAAAGAGTATTTTGTTTACAAAGTGCGTCACGTGACCATTCTTTGTGAACAGACAATAATTTTGTATGTATTATATATTTGAATGGTAAATATACTCTAGTATAGTTTAAGAGTTGTGTTTGTTACACGAGGGACCTAATCGGTACGAATATATCCTTAACCAGGTAAATTCTGTCGCCTTTGGCACACCACTTGCCTTTCTCTGAGATGTAAATCTATACACTAATTAACGCAGGGTCCGGCTGTGTTTCGATAACTGTCAACTTGAAAATGACCTTTCTGATCACTGATTAATTGTAAATGGACATGTAGTGGCTATGTAGTTATAGCTATAAGAGTTTGACGTTTACTTTTCAGTCCGTAATATTAATCAATCATTTCTGCCAAACTGTAGAAAATGTGCAATCCTATCGCAGTGGTGCGTTTATTATACATGTAAACTCTATTTATTTTACAACAATTGCAAAACAAGTTATTTCATTTTACACTAACCACTCTTGTTGGCCCGGATGTGAGAGCGCGAGGGGTCTTATTGTGGGAGGAAACCGGATTACCCGGGGGAAACCCATGTGGTCGGGCAAATGACCTCTTACCTTTTCAAGACTGTTTCAGCAGTCGAGCCCCGAACGACTAGGTAAAAGGCGAGTGCGTTATTACTGTTCCAGCAAACCGGCCTTGTGCGTTTGATACCGTATCGTCCACGTTAGCGGACGGTGTGAAACACGGCATTATATGTGTTGTATGTTACCAAAAGTGTACTTGTGTATGTATCTTTGCATACTGAAATTGTTTTAATACTAAGTAAACGCTTTTCTCTTTATTACTTAATTATAATATAAACACGGGTTCGCATTCGACTGTTGGCTCAGCAAGTTTATTTAGAGCTTACAGGTGTCTCACAAACTTGCATGCAGCAAAAATTCCCAACAAATATGATCGGGATTACCTACAAATCATATTCGTAATCCAAATCATATTCCAGATTTGATAGAACTAGCCAATATATAGAGCGCCATAATCAAGTTTAAAGCGACTGAAAGATGACCCGAAATCCGAACAAATATCATTATCATTCTTACAAGAGTAAATATGTTTTAAAATGTCTACAAACAGTGAAGGTGAATGTAGAGTTGTTGTGATACAAACGTCACAAATGATCACCATTGTTCTCTGATATGTATAAGCCTGCTAGTCGGGCGGTTTGACAGAACTCCGTGATGCATTGGTGTCTTTGAAGTTGATTATTGTGGATTCCGTTTGATATGATGGCTTGTTGACATTGACGAACACAAAAGAGGCGAGCTTCCTGTTGGGAACCATTTTCCTAAAAGCTTCATACCAAATTGGCCGATGTATGAAATAGGTCAAACTTTAGACCATCGGTCATTAGCCGTTAATGAAAGACGTGACCAGCGCATTCGATACAATTCAATACTGGCTTACTCTTCATAAATTGTACAAGGTGATCAATAGGTAGTGTATATAAATATATAAATGTACATATTTGGCAATAGATATTTGAAAGCAGATAGTCTGTACTTATGGTATATCTTTTCACGGCTATGAATTATTGTCATAAATTCTTCTTAAAGCAAATTGTAAAATGCGTACGTTTAAGATAAGATTTAGTGATCATATGAAATTGCGTTTAAACAAAGTAAAAGAAGTAAGCCTTGCCTAGTAAAATGATTTTTCCGCAGTTGGCTTAAATCAGAGGTTGTATCTAGCATAAATAATCACTTGAATCATACCAAATTTCCAACTAGTGTCCAATTCCATTTTTTATATAAAGGTTCGTTCCTTTGTACCTAAGGTATCAAACATTTATCTGCATACGATTTTGAGTTTAAAGAGAATAATCTCTCCAAGATAGATAAACAGAAAAGGAAAAGTGTAGTCACATAGTTGTATCAATTTTCAAAATAAAATCACGATAAATAGAAAAAAGCCAAAAAAGAAAAAAAATGCACACCAATTTTTTTTATGATTCATTCTCGCACTTTTCAATTAACTTGTCAGTCGGTTAACCAGTCTTTATCGTCACCGAGATAATACTTACCGTCAAGTGAAGTAGCAGTGGCTCAATAAGCTCTCGGTGCAACCTATTTAGAGTGTTACACAGTAAAGACCTGCTGATGTGTGTACCCTTTGTAATTATTATGACGTCTGTAAAGCTCCCGTCATCCTCTTGCCGTGCAGACTTAAATATTGGGGTTTTTTCACTTGATATTCTGTTACAATCCATACTAATGGACTTCATTGATCTAACTGGCCGCAAATTTCTGTTTTCATAAACCTTCTTTTCGAAATAATGTTGCTTAATTAATGTAATATTTCAGCAATCGTCTTTTTGTCATATTCAACATGTACCCGATAACGTCACGTTTGTAAAATGTCCGTCTAGAATGACCTTTCCATGACATTAAAGTTAATAGGTCCAGTCTTTCCAATCTTCAGTCTATGCATTCGAAACAAAATTGTCTGAATGTATGAATACACAGACTTTTTGTGAATGTCAGGAAAACTCCGTGACACTTTTAGACCTCGTCTGTACGGCATCTTATGTTTCACAGGGGAATTTTCAAAAATATTATTTTGCACTCTTCAGACAAACCACAGAACCGTGTGTGCTGGTAAAGTGTTATTACTTACTTTAGATTGATATATACTAGCGGAAAAAGAGAAACGCAAGTTCAGTTTTGGTAATATAACTTTTTTATCCGTAGACCAAATGTTGTGAAATTTGACACATAAATACCTCAGTGTACTGTCTAAATTATCGTCCAACAAAGTTTGCGTCCGTAGCACTACCACGTGCTATCAACTTGAAAACCATACCAAATCCAAGCTTTGAACAGCACACCCAGTGCACAACATTTCATTCCAAGGCGATTAAAAAGCAGCATGGCGCGAATGTCCGAAGTTGATAGGGGTAGGGCTATTGCCCGAATTCTACAAGGCCAATCGCAACGTCTCGTCGCCCAGCAATTTTGAGTCCAGGAGTCAACGATAGCTCGATTAGTTGGGCGTCTCAGGGCCACGGGAAGATTAGCTGACCGTCCCAAAAGCGGACGGCCACGCGTTACGACTCAAGATCAGAGCATACGTCTCTCACACCTACTTAACCGATTTCAGACAGCGACGGAGACGGCAAGTCATATTGTAGGCACTTATGGTCGAAGTGTGTGTCCAAGAACAGTTAGGAATCGGTTGCGGGAGTTCAATTTAAGGCCACGACGTCCCTACGTTGGTCCGCAACTTACACCCAGGCGACGTCAACGTCGAATGCAATGGCTGCGTGCACATGCACCAAATCGGTTTCGCTTGGCCCGCTGGAGACGTGTGTTATTCACGGACGAGTCTCGCTTCACTTTGTACAGGTCAGATGGACGAAAACGTTGCTATCGACGTCGCGGTGAGCGATATTTTGACGCATGCGTTAAAGAAAACGACAGATTCGGGGGAGGGTCTGTAATGGTTTGGGCGGGGATTTCTCATGGCGTGAAAACACCTCTCGTGATCATCCAAGGCAATCTTAGAGCCGTCCGATATCGGGATCAGGTCCTCATTCCTCGTGTCCTTCCATTAATCCAAGCGCGAAACCTTACGTTTTAGCAGGATAATGCCAGGCCGCACGTTGGTAGGATGTGTCGTAACTTCCCCAACCAAAACAATGTCCCAGTACTCGACTGGCCACCCTACAGTCCAGATCTGTCCCCGATCGATCATTTGTGGGACGAGCTGGACAGAAGGCTTAGGAAGCGCGCCAGCGTCCCAAAAAACGTCACTCAGCTCACGCAGGCCCTTCTTCAGGAGTGGAATACCATCCTTGATGGAGTCAATGGTAAGGAGAGTTAGAGCAGCGACTGCAGCTCGAGGTGGGCACACCTACTATTGATTTTGATCAGGAAATGGCATAGGGTATCCACGTTTAAACGCTATCATGCTAACTCCATCTGTGTTAAGACAACAGAACTTATCAAATTTTAATCAGTAATGAGGAATTAATATAAACATCTTAACAATGATATGATCATCCATAAAACATTTGAAATATTTACCACCGGACAAATACGGTTTTTTTTTTGCGTTGGTATATAATTTGTATATATATACAATTATTTCACTATTTATTTGCCGGTTGATAATTGCATTAATTTAGGCTAGAGATATTCACTAAAAAAGTAAAAGAAAAATCACACCAAACAGAAAATAAAAACAAAAATAACAAAGACAACGCCATGTAAATAACCATACATTATTAGGAATGAACCGTACTAAAGCAATATTTTACGTTATATCATTAGTTACCTATAGGAATGATGTGTAAGAATTTTTGTCCTTTTGTCAGGAAGTAATCGGACGTTCAATGTTAACACTGTTTCGCTCATGTTCATCCTAATTGCCCAATGGTCAATTGTTACGATAAGACTGGCTATATGACTTGGTTAAGGTGCACGTTGCTAAAAGTCCCAATTCTTCACATTGATATCACATCATTTCATGACGTCATATGTCCTCCTGATCGGATATAACGTCAAATTAAACTTTTTAATTATCTGTTTGATATAATGATATTTTGACGAGTTCTTGCATAGGTGTCGAAGTTAAGTGATAAACGGAATCTAACATTTGATTCCATTCCATCCGAAATCGAATGATATCGTTATCTAACCTGCAATAAGTATTTATGTATTGATGTATAATGGACGAAATCTGCGCTTTTATTGAATAAAACTAGCATTATACTGCTGAACACAAACTTCGCTGGTCTAGGTTTGCAACTACATCAACATGATTTAGTTGCGTTTTAATGTTGAAGTAATTACTTGCGTTTGGTTTCAGATTTTATATATTTAATCATATCATCATTTAGTTTACATTGTTGACCAGATCGAGAATTATACAGCTACAACATCGAGCAGTACTCGGCTGTTTGCTCAACAATCATACGCAGTTAGCCTAAATATAACCCGGGTATTTACTTTTTACTTCAGGGAAAGTTTCATTTCTTAATAATAAAAATATTATGCGGTTTCTTTTGTTCGATAACCGAAGTGATACATTTATAATGTAATTGAATATCTTTTTATTTGACACATGTTTTAAAATAAGAAATCAACAGATTTGTCATGTTTTTAGAAGAAAAATGCTTCAAGAGTCTCTATCTTGAAATTGGAATGTCACCTGAATTTATTACATTACGACATATGATCCGTGGTTAACCAGCCTAAAATATATAATCGAATATTTGAAAGTTGGTCTGTTTTCACTTAAGGATGATGAAACGTCTATTAGATTAGTCTGGAAAAGGTCATGGAAATGCCTGTTGCCTAATTTCCTAGAGATCTTGAAATGAATGCGTTTACATTGAGACAGTTTGACGCTTGGTTTACATCTTCACATTAGAAGTAGAGATATGTACAATACGGAAGTTTGTATTTAGTTATGCGTTGTTGGGTACACAGTTGAATCCAAAATGCATCGTATGCAGTTAAGCTCTCCTTAGTGTGGCTTTCTGGATTAGGAACGTTTCTGTTTTACTGAATTCGTCGGTCGGTTTGATATAGACAAAGGGTGACATCGTATCCTTACATCCACGCTCCTTTTCGATCAATGAAATGTTTTAAACTGACTCTTGTTTATGTGTCTCGTCTACAAGGGTGCAAGATTTATTGTAGGGCCTATCGAAGTCCAGGTTTACCAGGAACATGAATTCTCCGTTACGCGGTTTCGCAATAAATACATCACTATTTAAATTCTGACTCAACACTTGTTCATAAAATAGTTTCTCTGTGTCTTTTCAGATATATATAGATAGATATATATTCTTTCAAGATATGCCCGACTGACATATCCATCTTGAATGTTTGTCTCAAGGGGGGCTAAATATTGTCGTTTTCAAGCATGTGTCTGACAAAGATTGATGCGGTTACAGTGCTTATTATGAAGCATCGCACGTCGTAAAAATAACACAGTCTACTTTTAAGTACATGCCAGGATTCCTAATTTATGTTATAAACTGATCAAAAGCCTTATACATTACAAAGCATAAATATCACTGAACTGATTGATTTTTTTCATGTCATCCTATAACTATCTGATCAGCGGAATATTTCACTAATGCCATTTATTGTCGGTTCGTAAAGATATATTCATTTGTACTGAATAAGTGGATTTTGATTGCACAAGATAATTCGTCACGTTTTGACCATTCTAACTGAAACTCTGTTAAATGATTTATCAAGTTAAAAGCAGCGTTAGGTACATATAAAAGAGATTTAACGTTATCAAAGGAAGGGCATTTATCTATAGATAAATTGTAAATGTCAGTTTTAGATATGTTAATGTATGATAAGAATAACAAAAAAACATCAATATGTCAATAAAACATTAATTCATTTGGTATTTCGATGAAAAATGATTAACATAAAAAAAAGAGAAACTGAGAACCCTGGAAAAGCACCTGAAGAATCAGACCAGGTGTACCTGAAAATCATTCGTCTTCTGCTTCATCGACGACATGCCCTATACACATCTCTGTCAATCAAAGCAGATAATGTCTCATTCTCCAAGAAATTTTCCTTTTCCAACAAATTTCTTCAGTGAGATCGATGTGCATTATGAACATGAAAAGGGTTTATTTAATCATTTCTAGAATAGATCATGCTATCACATGAATATATAATTATTAAAAAAATGTTATCATTCCTTGATTTACACGGAACAGTATTGACGTGGAATATTGTTCTTTTTGGCTACCTTTTTCAGTGTTCTTGTCGACCTCACTATGTGAAAACCTGAATCTGCAATCGTCTTGTAGACATTTATTTCCTTCGCTGAGTATTATTGCATAATGAGTAATTGTACATTAGACTCCTGATGTAAATGCAGTGTATATTGACATTCAGCTTCGCACCTTAAAGTGAAGATTATGTCAGTAAATCCGTTGTTCATACCCAATAAATACCGTTGTGCTTGTACATACTTCACACTTCTATACTTATTGTTCTATAACTGTATTTCGCTTGATTTGAAACTTCTCTGGTACGTGTAATTCTATATAATGCGGGAATGTCATCACCGCCCTTTGATTTTGTATGGAACGAATTCAATAGAAGAACCTGAGTCTTTAGAACTCTTATCACTCCGTAGTAACGTATATATACAGTGGACTATGTCTATGTCAAAGGTGTCCAGTTTAGACAGATTCCACTGTATATATGTAGATATGTATCAATATTATCTAGTAAATCTCAATAAGAGTTTGACATCAATTACTCCGTATTTACAATTCGACGTCATTCTAACGTTTTATATTAATCTTTTGGAAAAACCTATGTGGAATGCGTCGTACATGTAGCATCGATCTCATGTCATGCAACGTCATCGAGAATTTATGTGTTTTCCTGTTATTCTCTAGAGATATTTTCGTCGTGGATCGCACAAATAATTGGTAACTCATAGAATAAAAATGAACACCTGCTTTGTCTTGATAATCCATTTCAATGTAAATTGATACTTTTGCATTTCTGTTAGACACACAGCATATTTATCATGTTCTAGCTTTCCAAACTGGTTGATGTATGCGGTGTACAGTGGCACTATAAACGATGGTACATGTTACTCTTGTGCACTATAACTCTCATTGCCTTCCATCATGTCATCACTCTTATTTTATTTTCTTATTTCACTGCCACTGAAAATTCAACGTTTTCGATGATGCATTCCTCCATTATCTATGTTTTGTCTCTAGCTTTATTAAGGATACATATATCTTCATTTCGTATTGTTATTGTACAACAGTGCTGAAAACGGTACGGTACATTCCGCAATTGGTGTATACCGAAAGTCGTCGGTAGTATTCGCAACAGTAATCCTTATCGAGAGAGAGTGGGGGAAGGGGGGGGGGGGGAGGGAGGGAGGGAGAGAGAGAGTTTTAATTTGATAATGTGATAAATGAAACTACAAACGAATAACAGGATATATGTATATGATAATTAATTGGTAAGATATAATCATACTCACGTGATCAACTGCAGGCACCGTTTTCATTGTCATCAACAGACTAAAGTTAAATAATTTAGTGAACGTAATTCGCAAACGTTACGTAGCAGCTGTGGCTACGATCAGCTTAAAATGTCAACAGTTAGTATCAATATGTGTGTCTGAAGGATCCATGGTGTTCTGAGGGGTAAAACAGAAAAAATGCGAAAAAGAACAACTTGAACGAATACAATATTCTTATCTCTCTTGATACTGACATTGTACATTAATTGATGTCGGTTCTTATATTCCTGTAACGTTTACAGGTTAACATTTCCCAGATTTTATTTCAAACGCATTTAAAAGGATTTCTAATACACACGTCTCTCAATAGTCCGCGGATTAAATCTTCACGACAACGTTAATTAACTCCGAAATAGCAGAAACATCATCCCCTCGAACGTAACCGGCTCTGCGGTATCTACTTATATCCTTATATGCATGTATATATCAACATAGGGAAGTGTAAATACGATATGTAGATGATGTAATGGTTCATCAAAATATGAACTGAAGCATGGTTCCTTAATTATTCACCATGAAAAACATTGGTTGATTCTTTCATACATATATTACGATAAAAACCGGGAAGGACATAAATTGAAGATAAAGATTATTGGATTTAGGATCAATTTTGGTATCTTCTGAGTATCTTAAAAAATGACAAAGCGATAAACCCATCTTCTGCAGTATTTGAAGATACAGCATACATATTGTTTCATTGTTTATGCACAAAAATCTTACACGCTATCTCTGACATTTTGAAAAATGGACAGAACTATATATTCCCATGAACGT